ACACCATATGAACCATATGCATCCTATGTTGAATCCAACCGTGATGTCTCAAGTCTAAGGATTAGTGGTACACTAGCACGATCCTACGATGCATCATTGACCATATCCATGTTATGCATCGTAATCGATCGTATTCGATAAACAGTTCACTAACTGTTTATCTATGCTAGTGCCTTAGTGACATACCTCTTATAATCACCCACACTAATACCATCACATGATATTCAATGGAGACATTCATCATGCCTACTATGCAATGTTATTGCCCAATTAACATTACTTGCTTAGGGAATTCTTTGATGATTTGATCTTTTGAAGATCTGTGTCATCCGAATATTTCACATGCAATATTAAATATAATATAATATAAATGAAGCAGAAAATCAACATGTGAAATAAGAATACTTTCTTTTATTCACAATACATTTACAAAATATAATGTCCTAAAATTGACAACACAATTGGTTCCTATGGCATACATTAACATTATCTGCCACATCAGGAAAAACAAAATCACGTTGTTGTCCCTCTGGTAGTAACTCATCCGCAAGGTACTGCTGGTGTTCAGTTGGAAGTATTACCTCCTTGTTGTCCCTCTACCTCAGCTACAAATAGCCATCCAATGCTTACCAGATCCAAGACTGGTTCTAAACCTCATCATTCATATCAGACTTTCTTGTCTACTTGTCCCATATTAAAGAAGCCAAAATCAGTCTCTGAAGCTTTACAAACCCTTGAATGGAAACAAGCCATGACTACTGAATATGAGGCACTTTTGAGAAATTAAACTTGGGAGCTTGTGCCTTATGAAGAAGGAATTCATGTTGTTGGATGCAAATGGGTGTTTCAGACAAAATTAAATTCAAATGGGACTCTTCAGAAGTACAAGGTCAGACTTGTGGCTAAAGGGTTTCAGCAAACCCCTGGCCTTGATTACTTCAATACGTTTTCATTGGTTATTGAAGCAGCTACAATTAGAGTTATGCTATCTGTTGCAATGCATCAAAATTGGAAAATACAACAGCTCGACGTTAATAATGCTTTCCTAAATGGGGAATTAGCAAAAATAGTGTTTATAATGCCTCCTGAATGTCTCTCCTCTACATGTTCTCAAGGTAAACAAGTCTGTCGATTACACAAAGCCTTGTATGACCTTAAATAATCTCCACAAGCTTGGTTTGACAAACTTAAGGCTGCATTGCTAGATTTGGGGTTTGTTAATTCTGCTTCAGATGTGAGTATTTTCTTTTATAAGAAGGATTCTCAAGTTGTCTATTACTAGTCTATGTAGATGACATTTTGGTGATAGGAAACAACAGTCAGCTTATTGATCAAGTAGTGACTAATCTTCATAATTAGTTTGCTTTGAAAATTTTGGGAGAGGTGCAGTATTTTCTTAGCTTTGAAATTAAAAGAAATGCTGCTGGTTTACTTTTCACTCAAACTAAGTATACATAGGATCTGTTGCAAAAGGCTGGAATGGAAGATTCAAAACCATGTCCTACCCCTATGGCTACTGGAGTGAAATAAAGAAAAGAAGACAATGAGATGTTTGATCAGCCTACTTTGTATAGAAGCATTATTGGGGGTCTACAATATCTGACCCTATCCAATTTGACTTAGCCTTTTCAGTAAATAAATTAAGCCAATTTTTACAAAGTCCTACAGTAGCTCACTGGATAGCATGCAAAAGAATTTTACGATATTAAAGGAACTTTACAACATGGTGTTATATTCACAAGAAGTCAGAAGTTCATTCTTGAAGCCTATGCTGATGCAAATTGGGCTAGTGATATTAATGATAGAAAGTCCACCAGTGGGTATACTATATTCCTTGGGGGTAATATGATTCAATGGTGTTCACGAAAGCAAAAGGTAGTCTCCTTATCATCTACAGAGGTAGAGTATCGATCTTTTAAGTCAAGCAGCTATTGAAATTGTGTGGGTTCAACATTTATTTGAAGAACTTGGAATTACAATTAATAATGTGCCTGTGATCTGGTGTAACAACATGAGTGCTGGTGTCTTGTCCTCAAATTCAGTTTTTCACATTAAGACCAAACATATAGAGATTGATGTGCATTATGTGAGAGAACTTGTTGCAAGAAAAGCTCTGAATATGCAGTACGTATCCTCTGAATATCAGGTTGTAGATATCCTCACTAAGGCTCTGCCTAGTAACAGGTTTGTTTTGCTACGAGATAAGCTTAATGTGACTTCTGTGTTGACTGATTAGATCAAGTTCTATTTCTGGTTTGTAAGTTGTCAAATGAAGCTTGTTACTGAGAAGCGTTGTTGATATGTTTTGCTCCTGTGATCTACACTGGATTTGTATTTTTTTTTTTNATCCTCACTAAGGCTTTGCCTAGTAACAGGTTTGGTTTGCTACGAGATAAGCTTAATGTGACTTCTGTGTTGACTGATTAGATCAGATTCAAATGAAGCCTAGTACTGAGAAGAGTTGTTGATATGTTTTGCTCTGTGATCTGCGTTGGATGTGTATTTTCTATATCTGCATTGTTAAAAGATGATTTGATTGGGATCTACAATAGTAAAGTTTTTTTTGGTTTTTTTTTTTTAAATTGGTGTTGAGATGTGAGTAATCTGGAAGCTAATGTATGTTGAAGTCATAGTATATTTTGTGAAGTATATCGCGTGCTACTGTTGAGGGTGTAAAAGCTAATATGTGGCAGTATAATTTTGAAGTGTTTGAGGTGTTATCAGCATGAGTAATAGGAATAGTTGTATATCAAATGATTAGCAGCAAATGATTTAGTAGGAGTGTTGCATTTGAGGGGAAATATTGGAATAAAGGAAGAGATAGAAGAATTCTTGATATACAGAGTGGTTTAGCTTAAGGGGAAATATTGGAATGAAGATAGAAGAACTCCCAATATATCTGGGTTGTGTTTGTAATAGAATAAAACTTAGTGGAAAACGGTGCGTTTTACTTTGTGTTCAATGCATAAAAACATTGCTACCTTGTAATGGATTTTAGTTAGAAAAATTAGAAGAAGAAATTCACAATTCTTTCTCGTCTTCTCTAGATTCTTTTCTTTGTTTTTTGTTCTTTATTGTTCTTTGGTTAAACAAGAATCTTCAAAGATTAAAGTTTCCGCTCCCACTAATCAATTAATAGCAGTAAAGATTGATTAAGCAGAATGATGGAAGGGTAAATGTTTAAAATCAAATAAATAGAGTGTTTGTTGTGAAATCAAGAAGACACAACAATAATTGTTGTTTGGAAATTGCATGTGTGGCATATTCATGCATGTGTCCCTAAATTTGTGTAGAAAGAGGCAGATGGGTTGGTAATGGATAATTACTTGTATATGAATTGGGGTCAAAAGAGGATGACTCAAACTTTGTCTTCGTCTACTTCAATTCCCCTTTTTAAAAGCATAAATAGATAGATAGATAGATATTGAAGCAACCACGAAAGCTAAAAGCAACATGTTCATTTTGATGGTGGGTCTCCTTCTCATATTTGTTTTAAAGGAATGCCACCTTATATGACCATTTCACTGTGACCTTCTTTTTCATTACTTGTACTAAGGCTTTATTCGGTATTTTCATTTGATTATAACTAGAGCGTATGTGGTTATTGTAGTTTCGTTTTCATAGGATGATGATAGATATTTATGTAATGTCATAGTATACAAGAAAGAAAGCCAAGTTATCAAACTTTATATGGCTTGAACGTTGGGAAATAAAGAAAAAAAGAAAATGATGAAGTGATAGGTGGACCACCGACACGTGCCGATTTCGCACCGACTTTTAGAAGACACCGTTATGCTGGTTGACTTTGTAACGACAAACCCATGGATCTGACATTTGTTTTTCAATCATTCCACCGAAAGTTATACCACCCCCCAACGTGGATCACTTGTTCGCCACATTAACTTAACCCGAACCCATCTACCCGTTCGGTTTAAAACTTTGCATGGGTCTTTTAAATGGATATAATTAAAAATTGATTTGATCTGATCTGACAAACTCCTCTGGAATTATTTTTAGCTATCTAAAACTAGAGGATATCATAAATTACTTATTAAAGTTATAAATCAAGTTATTCTTCGTTAATGTGGGTCAAATTTGGAATAACAATTCAAACATGTTTTAATTATGGTCGGTCCGATAGAAGTCTCTAGTGTAGACTTTGGTGTTGAAAATTTTAAAACACCCATAAATTTTCTAAATTCAACATAGTAGTCTAATCTCAAAAGTTGTATTTTGGCCCCATTCAATATACTTCATTATGTAATTCTCAAATTATTCAATTATTTTTCCCTACCATATACATTATTACTTGTAAATTTAGTAGTAATACACAGAACTATGTTTAAGCTGTAAAATCGAAAAAGAATTATACTAATATGAAAAGTAATATTTTAGTTTTATAAATATCTATCAAGAGATATACTCCCCTTAGATAACATGTTTGTATTTATTTTTAAATTTAAGAACATCATCAATTCATCATTGATAACTTTCGTATAATTAAAATTTTGATTAAATAAATACACAAAGCAATATTTAAATATTGGTTGACCATTGTATTTGTATCACAACTTTCTTCTTAAATTAAAGATTTTTCATCCAGTTAAATAAAAATACTAAGGAAGAATAGCATGCACATCCACTGTTAATAATCCAATCGACCAACAACATAATGCCACATCACCGTACGGACAGAAAACAGTGATGTAACTGTATTTTTATTCTCCAATCTCCACCACCAGAAGTCCGTACGCCCTCTGATTTGCCCAAAACGATTTAACTTTAAAAAGCTAAATACTACTGTTGAATGTAGCTGAATTAATTTTACAGTAAATTAATATTAGTGGGAGAATGAAAAATTGGAGTATAAGTAACGACACTAGAAAGACAAAACGTGTGGGTCCTATTCCAACCAACCAACCACGAGAATTTGTACAAAATCTTTTTCTCTTCTCCTATAAACCCCCCTTCACTCCTCTGCTTTTCATTCACCATTTTAACTACAAACACACGCACCCTCTTCCCCTGCCTGCCTTCTAAATCTCTCTAATTACGCCCCCATTTTGGATTTGTTCAACCATCTTTACCGCTCGCTCTCCATGTTTTTCCAATTTTTTTAGTGTTTTCGTATCCGATTCTTGTTCGGATTAGATTTTGTAATCACACTTCAGATTCTGTAATTCGCTCTTGTTTCTTCTTTTGACAATTTTTTTTCATCTTTTTGTCGGTTGTTTTTTCGCTATTCGGGTTGGTGATTTACGTTTGATTCGAATATTTTTGCAATCTTTTGTATATAGAGTCTTTTACGTTTGTTAAGAGAGCGAGCGGGTAGTCAAGATTTGTTCAGTTTTAATCTAATCAATGGCTGCAGATAAGAACAGTGGCAAATCCAAAAAGGGTGTTGATGAAACCACAGAGAGGATGGCGACGAGCCAAGATTGGGATATTGGTAAAGGCAAAGATGTCGATTTTAATACTAGTTTCGAGAGGCGTCAGCAATGGAGGCCCGTTTTAGAAGAAGCTTCCATCTCACAAAGACCTCTCAAGAAGATCCGTAGCCCTGAACGTTTTCAATCTTCATCTTCTGTTACTCATCAATCACAGTCACCTTCTTTTTATGTTTCTCCAAGTTCAGCTTCTTCACCATCTTCTTTGTCTTTGCCATCTTCAAGATTTTTTCCTTTTGCTTTTGATTCATCTCAACAAGAAGCCATGCAATTTTCTCAACAGTTGAGAACATCACCAGCTCCTCTGCCTCTTTTTCGACCTCCGATACAACCGACACAAACTCAGCAACAAATGATTTCTTTCAGTTCTCATCAACCACAGCACGGCTTTAATTATCCTCAGTTTTTCACTGGAGAATCAGCGCTGGCTTATCAACAACAGCAGCAGCAACTTCTTCAGTATTGCGAAGCATTGAATTTAACCCCGAGAGGAAGAATGATGATGATGAATAGGTTGGGACCAGATGGAAGGCCATTGTTTAGGCCTCACGTTCAGCCTTTAAACGCTACAAAGCTTTACAGGGGAGTGAGACAGAGACATTGGGGCAAATGGGTAGCCGAGATTCGTCTACCTCGAAATAGGACTCGCCTTTGGCTTGGAACATTTGACACGGCTGAAGATGCCGCCTTAGCCTATGATCGCGAGGCCTATAAATTGAGAGGGGAGAATGCTAGGCTTAATTTCCCTGAATTGTTTCTGAATAAGGATAAAGCAACGTCCACATCTCCTGCTTCAAATGTTTGTTCTTCACCCACTACTCATGAAAGTTCAAGCTCAAGTTCAATGCCAAGTCGATTCCTAAGCCAGTCTCAACAAGCTCAAGAAGGCCTGAATTTGCAGGTTATGAGTAGGGAACCGATGCCGCCACCACCACCACCACAGCCTCAAGGAGACAATCCTGACAGTAATTCAGGAATAGGGTCAAGTGAGGTTACAGCGAGTGATGAGATGCAGGCGGTTGCCGAGGGTTCTGGTTCAGGAGAAGGCGTTTCGGGCTCAGAAGATTTAGTATGGGGAGAAATGGCAGAGGCTTGGCTCAATGCAATTCCAGCTGGTTGGGGTCCAGGTAGTCCAGTTTGGGATGATTTGGATGCCACTAACAATCTTCTAATGCCTTCAAACCTTCCTTTTGTCAATCAAAATCAGCATGAATTTAATGAACCTGATCGTCATAAGCAGCAGGACAATTTGGGTTCTGCTTCTTCATCTTCATCTTCTTGTCCCATGAAGCCCTTCTTTTGGAAGGATCAAGACGGATAAGTCACCCACAAGAATCATCCTTGCAAGTGGTTTACGAAAACAGTTTTTCTCTTCTCGCTTTCTCTCTATTTTGTCAGGTTTTTGGACCACTTTTTGATTTTTCTCACTGGTTGCATATTTTTTTCAAGATACCATCCTGTGATTTTCATCTCATCTCTACATTTTCCCTCTATCTTTAGAAAAGTTTTAATCCTCTTTATCTTCCACTGGTTGCCGATTTTTTTCACAAAACAACCTGTGATTTCTTTTTTTTTTTTTTTTTTTTCTTATTCACTCATTTTGCGTTCAAAGGCTTTTATGGATGGATTGTTCTTCCTATTAGATTCTCCGTCTACTTCCACTTGAATTGCTGCAAAAAAGGCTGCGTATTTTCAGGCCTTTTAGTAGTGGTAATCTAGTTGATGCTCTATAGATCATGCATTTTGTCCCTAGTGGTACTAGTATCTCATATGTCTCTAGCTAGAATCATTCTCAATCATGTTTTTAGTTTTGTCTCTTAACCTTTGGGGATGGAATTGTAGTGATTTTTAGTGCAGGACCAGCATAGAAGGAGACAGTTTTGTGATCTCCTCTTTGGTCCATCCACCTCGAGCTCTCTATTTTTCTGCTCGGTGGATGAAATCAATATGTAATATTGTACATTGTGCAGTTCATTATGATTACAGCATTTCAATTTAATGTCTATTTTTACAAACAGTGGTAGTTGTAATGACGTAGTTTTCATTTATTATTTGGGTTTTTGTTCAACTTTGTTGGTTAATTCTGAGCCACCACACACACAGATTGGGTCTAATACTTCAAACGATCTGAAATCATGTAATTAATGGGTTATTACTTGTGTTTTTATTGCGTTCTAGAGTGTGCTCCACTTGTTAGTCAAAATCATTTATCATCCGCAGAAAGTAGTAAGCATTATGCTTATTGTGATACCAAATTGAAGATGCAGATAACCTTGGGAATCATCAGATGTAGTAACCTAATCTTCCTAGTATAAATATTTCTAGTCAGGGAGCCGACCAAATCAGGAATTTAATTTATGAAACATACAAATTGTGGAATAAAGTGATTTGGTGCATTTGGGAATGATTCCTTCCATACACCGACTTACAGCAAAACTATTTGATAAGTTTACTGGAAAAACATTAACGACTGAGAATGAAATTTTTTTCAAAGCCAACATCAGGAGTTTATAATATAACCGGAACCGAGGTCCGGGTACCCGGATAAGAATTAGGACTGAATTGTAATTTTTATAACCTGTTAGGGGTGTCTGGTAATTTTTGGGGATGTTTTTGTCATTTTTTAAAAAGTAGGGGGATAAAAAATTAACAAGTTCTGGTTCTAGGTTTCTAGGAATCGGAATCGGCCGATTCTTATTTCGGTTTTAAATTTTAGGAACCGATCGATTTTGATTCTTTTAAAGAATACAGGATACGCGGAACTATTCACCTCTAATAATAGTAAAAAAAATTCATGAACTCTAATCAATACCGAAATTGAACTTATTTCTTAAGCAAATGCTATAAGAAAATATTTCCGATTCTTTATACAATCTCAAGCAACATAAATTCTCTTGTGACAATATCCTTGTGAACCATGATAATAAAACTCACACATTTATGATAGTGGTGATCTAAAAATTGAAATAAATTAAAATGAAGAAAAGAAGCTAATAACTTGATTAAAATAAAAATAAATAAATATCTAGAGATTGATTAATGGAGTAAAACAAAGAAGATTGGAAATTGAATAGATGAGGGCGAAAGGTGGGGTCAGTCACCGGCCCATGAGATCATGTACATTTCTTATTTGTGACGGCACGAGAATGATGAAGTAGAGATAAGTTATGAAATGATGCAGGTGATATATTAAAGGAATCATAACCTTAAATAAAAAAAAAAATCAAAATATCTAAAACAACCATGGACTTGGAAAGCTGCTGTTGCTTTCTGTAAACCAAACCCAAACTTTTAATTGTCTTGGTGCGGCTGCTACAGTCTTCTTCTTCTTATTATTTATTTTTCCTTGGTTATACAATATTCTTTTTTGCCTTGACTACCCATGGGAAAGTGATGTGTAAGTTGAGGACAAACTTGGATTGGTAATGGGTCAGCATAAATTAATCTGTAACCATTATTTGGGTTGAGTGGACATGTTTTTTTTTTCATAAATTTTAAGTCAGCTGTTGTTCCTAGAACTTGGGGAAGGGAGGCATAAGAAGATAACACAATATGGCATGGAAGCCTGCATCTATGGTTCATTGACTACTAGTATTGCACAAACTTGGGTTTGGCAAGGGAATTTATACCATAACTATACTCATCTAAAAAAATAAAATTTAGTTTCGACAATAAATCATACACAATACATTAGATGAATCTCCTCATAAAATAAATTGAGAGTCAAAGCATAATGAATAAAAAAATACAGGGATCACTACTTTTCAACTTTCTTTATGTTTGTGAAATAGGGCGTAGCTGTTATTGTAGATGAGACCTTATTTGTGACCTAACCAATTATAAAATTAGGTCATAGTCGTAAACTCGTAACATTACTTATAAAAAAAATAGAAGATTCAATCGTCAGAATTCACGCCATCCCTCTTTGTTTTGTTGACTCCGTGGACTGTGGTTGTGTCTAAATGAGAGTTTAAACGCCTCTTTCCGCTCTTCATACAAGTCCAAGGAGACTATGGTTGGGCTGACCCAGAGCCCAACCCATTAGTTTTGTTAGAACACTCTAGAAGTGAAACCCATTTTGCAAGATCACAGTTGGACACACATATCAAGGGAATCCAATATTCAAAAGCTCATTGGGTAATAGAATCCACGTGGCTAACTAGTCAGCAATCTATAATTGTCTTATCTGTTCTCAAAACTTAAGCCCAAAATCCAATATCTAAACATTAACTTCAGAAAGGGGGTCCTTAAAGAAAATAGTGCTTAAAACAGCAACATAGGAAGAGCTCATCCAATCATGGCTCTCCAAACATCCTTTTTACTTGCTTCTATCTCCATCTACAAAGAGGTCGGCTGCTAGTAGAAATCAGCTCCCATTTTTTTTTTTTTTTTTTTTTTGGGTACTTGTAAAATTCTTGATTATGATTTTTCACTAGTATTAGTGTATTACTATTAGTACTGGTTTACTAATGGTTTCTATTAAATGGGCTTCGTATATCTTCTTTGTGTTGACAGGGAAAGTCTAATGTTTGTCTTAAGGAGACTAGTTTCTTCGGAGTTACAATCTCATCACACCTTAAAGCTGAGTTCAAGTCTTCTCAGATCAGTATAAAGGTAGCTAAACTATATCGTCAATCCTCTTTTCTTTCTGTATTCGAATGCTAGTTGCGTGCAGTAAGTTTCAGTGAGTGGTGTAAGGGATTAACATGAATATTCATTCAACATACGTTTTTTTTCTCGAAAGTATTAAGTGCTAATGAAAATGTAGTCAGTAACGAAGATTATAACCGGAGAATTGTAAATGATGTTGTTCTTTTTAAGTCCATGAGTTGAATCCTCTCAATTACTATGTAATACGCATATATAATTTTTGCTATGTTTTGAGAATGTTGATGTTGTTTGCACTCAATTTGTAGCTGATACTTAGAAATTGAAACTATGGTCATTCATAGAATCCACAGATGAGTGAAGAATCCATTTCAAAATTACTAAAATAGCAAACAGTTACTGAAATTTACATGAAATTCAGTTCCATGGACTACCTGACAACTGCATGTAAGAGCACCTCACTTTAAGATAAGTAGCGTCAGTTGTTTCTAAGTTCTCGTAAACACAGTCAGGTCTTATCTTTTTATTTAATTAACCATAGTGTTTCACTTACAGAATTTCAGAAAAAGGGAGCTACCCATTGTAACCGTTAAGGCTCAAACAGCTACTACAACTGCTGCAATCACCCAGGCTGCACCAGACGGAAAGAAAACTTTGAGAAAGGGCAATGTAATAATCACTGGAGCCTCCTCTGGACTAGGTCTGGCCACAGCCAAGGCACTAGCCGATACAGGAAAATGGCACATTGTTATGGCGTGCAGGAATTTTCTCAAGGCTGAGAGGGCAGCTAAATCAGTCGGCATTGATAGGGAGAATTATACTGTCATGCATCTTGACCTTGCCTCCTTTGACAGTATCCGGCAATTTGCTGATACCTTCCAACGTTCTGATAGGCCGCTTGATGCTCTGGTTTGTAATGCTGCTGTCTACTTACCCACTGCCAAGGACCCATCTTACACAGCTGAAGGATTTGAGCTTAGTGTTGGGACAAACCATCTTGGTCACTTTCTCCTCTCAAGACTGCTTCTTGATGACTTAAAAAAATCAGACTACCCCTCAAAGCGTCTCATCATTGTTGGCTCCATCACAGGTACTGACTTGGATGCAGAATCCAAATTTCCATAGACTGTCAATTGGAAATTGCATGCAACACAAACATTTAGAGATATAGAGATCAGGGGTACAAAGTAAAAAAAAAAAAAAAAAATTGAGTGTTAATACATTGATTGTTTCAGAATTCTGCAGTGAAATAGGAGTTATATGCAGCCGTCAGAATTAACTCATGGACTAATTAATGATACACTCATTGCATTAGAAGTGTAACTTTGAACATATGGTCTTGTGTAAATCTATATGCATAATTCAAGAACTGAAAGTTATGACAGAAGGAGAAAAACTTTTAATGGGGTTTTGTTACTGCTTGCATTTTAGGAAACACAAACACCTTGGCTGGTAATGTGCCTCCAAAGGCCAATCTTGGGGATCTGAGAGGTCTTGCAGGAGGGTTGAATGGGCTGAACAGCTCACCTATGATAGATGGAGGAGAATTTGATGGTGCTAAGGCCTACAAAGATAGCAAAGTCTGCAACATGCTTACTATGCAAGAGTTCCATAGACGCTACCGTGAGGAGACAGGAATCACCTTTGCTTCGCTCTACCCTGGTTGCATAGCTACAACAGGCCTGTTCAGGGAGCACATTCCCTTATTCAGGCTTCTTTTCCCTCCCTTCCAAAAGTACATAACCAAAGGCTATGTATCAGAAGAGGAAGCAGGAAAAAGGCTCGCACAGGTCAGTTGGGCTCCTTAATTTATAGTTTAATATATCTGTGGGTCCTTATATTAACACCTCTTTAATATAGGTTGTGAGTGATCCAAACCTAACAAAATCTGGAGTTTACTGGAGCTGGAATAAGAACTCTTCTTCATTTGAAAACCAGCTATCTGAAGAAGCCAGTGATCCGGAGAAGGCACGTAAGATGTGGGAGGTTAGTGAGAAGCTCGTTGGATTGGCCTAAAGGAGTTAATGAACACCAACAACCTACCTTTTTAAAGAGAAGATACACTTTGAACTTCATATCAAACAGGAAAACTCCGCACGATTTACTTTCCCTTGTGGATTTAAGAATTTTTCAATGACAAGACAGTAGAAATATTCACCCGTTTGGTTTGCATAATATGAGAACAAGGGAAGTTTGCTCTTGATAGTCCTTGAAACTTGAACTGATGTATTGTTAAAATGCTAGATGGTCACTTCAGTTAAGTTTTAGCTGTACAGTATTCCCAGATGCAAAAAAATTACATTTGAGGGGTCAAAGTTTAATGTTAAACTAAGGAGGAAACCAATGAGAATAAGGGGAGCTAAAGGAATAAAAATGAGATATTTATAAAAAAAAAAAAAAATTCAATTGGGCAGCTCCAGGACTGCAAGAATGGGATTTGATTTCTCAAATGGTTGACTGAACTTCAGACTTTCATGGATTAATATGTATACTAATAACTGGTAAATGCTTACTAAGTTTATTTGGGGTCTCAAGAATTTGAGAAAAAATCTGAAAGAAGGAGATGAGTATTTCAATTACATTTAAAACCAATAAGAAAAAAAAAAAAAAAAAACAAAAAATTTGAGTTGAGCTGATGTATGAGAAAAAATTTAATCAACCAAAATTCTTTGTCTGTCCAGTGTCCATCATACCCTTCGATTGAAACGTGAAAGGAAAATATCTTCTCGAGGCTGAAAGCCTGAAACAACTTGGACTATACAGTCACAGGCAATAGACTTACCTCATACAGGATCCAATGACTGATAACTGCAATACATAATTCCAATCCTCCCGCAACCTTTATGTTTCTGATCCCACATACTCGGATTATAAATACAAACATTTGTCCTTTCAACATAAAAGGAGATTATTATACTAAAACCCACAAAGTAAAGCTATAACGTTTCAGACTGATCCAACACAAAAATACATATTGCAAACCAAGCATGTCATTGATCATTTTAAGGGTAAACATAATACATTGAATTTCGCTACCAGATAACGCAAACTAATAATCATTACATGATTGAATTCTAGCAATTGCCTAATTGATGACTACAGTACGTAATTGAAATGTCAAAATCAAACACTCCAAAACTAAAGGATAGGAAAGATCATTCTCTACCAGTAAACATTTGCAAAACTACATGCTTACTAGTGTCTATTATTTTCTGCAGCACTCTCTTCCTTCCCAAGTGCAACGACGACTTTCTTCAAGATTGCTTCGGTTGGCTGGTGAGAATTCTCCACAGCCTTGGAAATTGCTTGCCATTTCTCGCCGTGTTTTGGTTCAGCAGCAATGCATCTTTTCAAAACATCCTTCTGGGTGTCTTCAGTTCCATGCTGCAATTCAAACTTATAGTATAATGCCCAGAAATCCCCAATATCCGGAGCAAGAGTAACTGCCCTGTTGAGCCAGTTCCTAGCTTTATCAACCTTCCTATCATGCCAAAACAACTTTGCCACAGCAGCAATAACATGAGGATCATGATCACACTTCTTCAGGGCATCAGTACTCTTGGTTTTGCGTTGAGGACGGGAAACCATCTCAATAGATGCAGCCCACAATATGCCACTATTGGGACACTCCTGCAATGCCTTTGCCATCAATATATCAGCTTCCCTCTTGTTTCCATGCCCAGATTCAGCTCGAACTGCAGCAAGCCAAAGTTCCGGATTGTGAGGATTCTTCTTCCTAGACATCGTGAGCACTGCCCGTGCTTTGCCCAACCCATTCATTTTCTCCTCTAGATTAGCAAGTGAAAGCCATAGAGGAATACAATTAGGACAGTGCTTAAGACCTGACTCATAAGCTTCCTTGGCTTGTTCTGAGTTACCAAGTCGTTCCTCTAGCTGCCCCATCATCAACCACAACTTGAAGAAAGAAGGAAATTGTTTCAATCCTTCATTAAGCAACCTCCTCTCCTCAGTATTGTTCCCCAATTCTCTTTCAACAATAGCAGATTTCATCCAAACTCTTTCTGTGCCACCCATATCTCTTGCCTTAGCAAGCAGCATTCGTGCTCTTTCAGGCTCATGGTTCTCGAATTCAAGTTTAAATGCTGCAAGCCAAATCTCCTCTGAATTAGGTATAGCTGCATAAGCTTCTTGAAGAATTGCTCGTGCCGCAGGCACATCCCCAGCAAGCCACTTCTCTTTCGCACCCATAAGCCAAAGAACCTCAGCCTGTGGACAATAAGTAACAGCTTTTCGCAATAAAGCATCTAGACTTTCCCTAGTTCCATGGCTTTTCTCAAGCTGAGCCGCCTTAAGCCAAATACTCTTCTTAGTCAAAAACACAGTGAGTGCATGTGCATAAATGGCTCTGGCAGTTTCGATAGACCCTCTTTTCTTACACTCTTCAGCATCAGCCACCCAAGTCCTTTTCCTATCCTCTTCTTCCACACCAATCCCAATTGTATTCTTAATAATTGCTTGACAAGTCACCACAGACCCTGCTCTCTCTGCAGCCTCAGCCTCTTTCATCCATGACTCTCTATCAATAACAAACCCTTCTCTTTGTAATGCCCTTACTCCCCTCTCAATAAGCTTTCCCACCATATTGGTATTGCCATTGGCTTCCTCCAACTTAGCAGCAGTTATCCAAATTGCTGGTTCTTTAGGCAACTTCTCCCTTGCCCTATTAAGCACTTTCTTGGCATTAATATAAGTTTCCAACCTGGCTAAGGCTAACCACAACTCCACATGTAAAGGACAACACTCAACCGCCCTATGCAACAACAATCTAGCATCCTCCTCATTTGCTAACTCCACAACAGCCTTCCACAACCTAACTGAATCAGGTATATTCTCCAATCCCTTTCTCAAAACTCTACTCTTATTCACATCATCATGCTCCAATTTCGCTGCCTGTAACCACAACTTCACAGAATTAGGAATCATTTTTACACCTTGAGCAATTACAGCTTTGGCCTCCTCAGGATTTGCAAGCCTACAAGCTTCCAGCCAAACATCTTCATTTTTCGGACACTCCTCACAACCTCTTTGAATCAACTGTCTTGCTGCAGCAATCTTCCCAGCCACTTCTTCCAATCTGGCAGCTGCAATCCAACCAGGTGGATGCTTCGGATTTGTTTGAATTACACTCTTCAACAACAATCTAGCCTTCTTAATATCCGAGATTTCTGCATCACTGGTTATCTTCATACTCTTCAAATCAGTCAAGTACCCTTTCGGGTCCACCACAGTCAACCCCGAAACAGAATCAGACAAACGGTCCAATTTCAATGACAAAACTGTTCCTCTCCCTTCACCAACTGCCGTCAAGTCAGTAACAGGGGTCTGACCCCAAGGCGTTTCTGTTCCACCAGCTGCTCGACTCTTGGGATCCAAAGCAGTCACATGCTCTTGCTCTTGTCTAGCTTTCTCTAACAATGTATCAGGTACAGGCACGAAACTTTCAAACCGTTTCTTCTTGTTTCTCAAAGAATAATCTCCAATTTCAGGGATGCTATCCCACTCATCCGCTGACAATGAATACAATTTCCTCTTTAAATCAGCGAACTGCTCTGTGATTTTAGGATTCGAAGCACGATACTTTTCAATCTCTTGCTTTAACCTAGCTTCTCTCCTATCTTTTCTTCGCGAATCCATTCTTTTATCAATAGCTTCCCAAACAGCATCAGCTTCTTTATCATCTTCATCATACTCAGAATTCGCAAACAACCCCACATCATTTCCTTCAAATTCATCGAACTTCTGATTCTCATCATATCCTTTATCATCCCCTTCATCATCATCTTCGTCATCTCCAGCTTTCCCACGTCCCCTGCCCACTCCAGCCGTACTAGCTGCACCGCCAATTGTAGTGGCCGACCGGTCCGGGAGGTCAGGAGCCGCACGGGCTGGCCCAATATCAGACCGGGTGGTGAACCCAGTAGCTCCACGACCCAACCCGGCAACATAATTTGGAGGCGGTTTTGAATTGAGGAAATCAAGGCGAGGCTTACTGGGTGGAGGCGGAGGAGCAGCAGGGGTGGTCCCACCAACACCACCTAGGAGAGGAACGTGGAGGGCCAGGGTTGAGTAAGAGGTGATGCCCAGATGGGAGAGAAGGGCAGAATCGTCATAGGTGGAATTGTTGGGGGGAGTTAGGAGATGTTGAAGAGAGATTGGGATGCGCGTTTGGAGTTGAAGAATTTGTTTGAGGGAGTAAAGAGTGGTGGTGTTAGGGTTTAGGTTGAAAAAGATTGTTGTGGAATTGGGTGATGAAATGAACACCATTATTGATTCTGAATCAAGATCAAATGATTTGAAGAAGGTGATTGATGCTAGGGTTTTATTGTGGACATTACAGAGAAAAAAGAAGGGGGTGAAGGAAGGTCGGTGGTTCAGTGGTGCTGGGCCTGAATCTGAATCTTGAAGGCCCGCTTGTTTTCACATGTCTGAATCGAGTAATTATGAATTGGGTCCAATTTTTTTCAAAGAACTAAATCTACTCTATTACTCTGATAAAATAAAAAATTTAAAGGAGGGCCATCCTACTGGACCTACTCTAATAATATTAAAATAATAACAACCCTACTTTAAACAGTAAGAACTGCATATATAAAGTTTTTATTCGAGTAATATTACAGTTATCAAAAGTAGTATACCAAATTTATACATCGAATGATATGATATAATCTTAAATATTAATTAATATTAAGTTATAATTAATAAATAATTAAGACTATGTTACGTTATTCAATATATAAACTCAATATACTATTTTCGATGGTTGTATTATTTTTCTTTTTACTATATGAAATAATATTCGTTAAATGGGTAACATATTTGTTATTGATTTCAAACGTCTTCTCTTTGAATCCAACTGACATCCTCCAATTTTATTGTCGCACTCGCACCGGTGAAATTGACGTTTCTTAATGGGTTTAAATTTTGATTAAACATCTTTAGTGCTGAACTCGATGGATTGAATTTGCCTACTCCATACTCCACTTACTCATCATATATTTACCGTGCAAAAATCCCCACATTAATACCCTGATTAAACTTCCATCCCGTCGTGAACTATTTCATTTTCATTTTATTTTTATTAAGTTTTTCCTGTGGAAATGACTATTGACTTCTTCAATGGATCTACCCCAATAATTTTTTTCCCAGCAGAAATTTCAAAGCTTTGACCATAACCAAAAACTTCATTTGATTTCTCCCTTGGATTTATTCTAAATAATATCGTGGTATGAATAGGTCAACGTTTTATTTTCAAGCAATACTATCATAATACAACCACCTATCAAATTAATTTCATTACATTCATTTCAAAATATTATGCCTGAAAAAGTATGGCTGACGCAAGACCCAGTCAGCATAAAAAGTCAGAGCTTAGGTAGGCCCGTAGCCAATCAGATGCAGCCACGTTATGCAATGACAGGGACGACACGCTCCTGTCAAGGCAGTGGGTGCGCGTCAGACTGGCCAGGGGCTATAGCAATTCCACGTGTCTAATCCCTGCACCAAATCGCGTAAATCACTCTAGAAGGTGGGCAATGTGACATAAAGAATGATTTGCACGGATAATCCCACCAACTCACAGATTTAGTAATCATAACCTTAATCCATTCCACTATAAATTGAGAGCTCCTCTCTCATTTGGGAGATTAGCTAATCTCTCTAAAGAAAATAGCATTCTCTCTCTCGTGTAATCATTTGTAAGTCAGTCCGCTGAACGCGACCTGACCACTATTATTAATACAAAATCAGTGGACGTAGGATTTGCTTCCTTAGCATCCGAACCACTTTAAACGCTATTCTCCATTTTATTTACTCTCATTCATTAATCCACATGTGTCTTCTGGGCCAGCTCAACATTTCACACGTGCGTTTGGTTGGTGTCAAAATCACGCATCAACAATTTGACACTAGAAGGAGGGCCCTTGATTTAGTATTCGTCCTTCACCAGGAGAATCTCTTACTAAATGGTCCTACAATAGCAAATGGCACGTCGACTTGAACCTAAGCGAACCCATCAAGGTGTTGAGGAGATCCCCCAAGTACAGGAGGACGCCTCTCCCGAGGTACCTCTGGTTCAGCAAAATGTCGCGGGGGATATCCCTTCAAGTTCACAACTTGACCCTGCCATTAGAAACTACCTGGAGAGGTTCGACAATACTCTCTAGACGGTTAACCGAAGGTTGGACCGTTTGGACCAGGGCGTGTCACCCGAATCAAATAAGGCGGTGCAACCGCCAAAAACGCCTGTAGGTCGCACGAAAGAGCGACAAAGGGCGATAGCCCACACCGCGAGCACTGCAGTGCGCCGAAGAAAGGGTAAACAAGTGGCAAAAAATGGACCTAAGGGCTCTAAAGGGCTGGCGAACACCGACCACGTCTCGAATAGAATACCCGTGGCGTTAAGACTCAGTGAAAAGTCACAGCTCGAGCCGTTCTATGCCACGTCACATGGAAACCCCCATAAAAGTGTTGGGCGAGGCGATTCTCATCATCGCCAAAGAAGCAATCCTGATCATAGTCGTGCGGGAGGTTCCCACACTCCGCGGGGTGGTTCTTACCACCGTGGAGGTCGTGAAAATTTCCCGCACCATTCATCGCCATCACACGGCTCTAGCCAGCGTGTGTTGAGAGTGACCAGAACTGTCGACTGAGGCGAAGTGGAATCCGACCTCCGGACTTTCCTCAATCGCAACCACGAGGGTCAAACTCGCATAGGGGAAAGCAATCCCCAGATAGCTCCGCTGCCCCAGATTGAAGAGCTGCAACGAGTTATAGACCAGCTAAGAGCTCAGCAAAATGAGCAAGGGCAGGTTGCATCAGCGTCTCCCTTTTCTCCGGCAGTACTAGCCACCCCTCTCCCATCAAGATTTAGAATGCCCGACATGCGGGCGTTCGATGGAAATTCTGATCCGCAGGATCACTTGTATGAATTCAACGACTTGATGGAGCTTCACTAAGTTTCAGATTTGGCAAAATGTCGTTGTTTGGCAGTAACTCTAACCTCTCATGCTAAACGGTGGTTCAGGTTGCTCCCAGCAGGATCAATCAGTTTGTGGACTCAGATGAGCACGATGTTCTAAGGCATTTCCAAGCAAACCGAAAGTTCTTAATGCTTTTGAGCTACCTCTGCAATATAAGGCAAGAGAGGGATGAATCCCTCCAATCGTACATCGATCGATTCCATAGAGAACTTAATAAAGTAGCTCACACTCTTGAAGAGTCTGTTCGAACTCTCATCATAGCAGGAGTTTGCCCACAGACTGACCTGTGGAAGGAGTTACAGGCTGAGGATGATGTTTCCCTCACCCGCTTCTATAACCTTGCGAAGAAGTATCTTTGTATTGAAAATTTAGTGGCGGCGCTCCACTGCCGCGACCCCGGCGCTTCAGGTAGTACGTCTGGTCGGGGAGAAAGTAGGAGAGTTGATCGCAGGTGAGCTACTGACGATCAACGAAAAGGAAAGAAATTGCGTTATGAATCAAAAAAGTCTTATGCTCCAGTTCCTCGTCGCAATTGCGACCGAAATCAGTATACGCCTCTAAATGCGTCCGTATCAACTATTCTTGATAAGTCGGAAGAGGTCAGCCTACTCAGAGAGCCTAAGCCCATGAAAAATCCCCTATCAGCCAGAAATAGTAAAAAATACTACCGTTTTCATCGAGATAATGGGCATAACACCGATGAGTGCCAAGCTCTCAAACAGGCAATCGAATACCTCATCAAGCAGGGGCATTTCAAGGAATATATTGATGATTCCACTCCCGTATAGGAGAAAAATCAAGGGGAACCAGGAAAGAATTGACGTGATCGCAAAGGTATATGTAGCGTCAATCTGATCTTTGGGGGACCACACCTCACGGGGAACTCGCGAGATGCCCAAGAAAGATATGCTCGCGCAGCCTATCACGATCCCATCAATTTGATGAGCATGATGCGGCGACCATAAGAGGTTCGTAGGGAGGAGGAAATTACCTTCTCCGAAAAGGATGCGGTTCATTGCATCATCCCCACGATGACGCTCTTGTGATCACATCCCTAATAGGGCGCCATAACGTTCACAGAATGTTGGTGGATAACAGAAGTGCTGTGAACATCCTATTCCTGACAGCTTTCGAAAGAATGAACTTGGACGAGGCCAACTTGAAGCTTGCCTCGATCCCCTTATATAGTTTTACTGGGGACCACCTGATTCCCAAAGGAACGTTGGGTGACTTTGATGAAGTGACCAAGGTAACTGAATTCTTGGTAGTGGATTGCCCATCCGCTTTTAATGGTATCCTAGGGCGACCTCTGCTGAGAAACTTTAAGGCGGTCACTTCGATATACCATATGAAGATGAAGTTCCTCACCCCGACGGGGATAGGGGAAGTCAGCAGATCTCAGCGCGCATCTCGCGACTGTTATGTGAAAGTAGTGCAGATGGCGTGTAAAGGGAAAGGTATCTCGCGCGGCATTCCCCGACAGGCAATGGCGATCAGTCGGATCGAGCCACAGCCTGGCCTAACCGAGGATAACATGGATCCTCGTATTCAGGAATGCCCCTCCAGTGGGCCAGTTAAGGATCTGTCTGAAGTATCAATCGACTAGAACGAGTTGAGCAAAGTGTTAAGGATTGGGAGCAATCTCAACCCCTAGCTTGTCGCCGAACTGACCAGCTTCTTTAGAGAGAATATCGATGTGTTCGCATGGTCGCATGCGGATATGTTCGGGATTAGCCTGGATATTATTTGCCATGCGTTGAACATCGACAGTGAAACCAAGCCGGTTCGCCAAAAGAGAAAAGCGATGGATCCAGAACAATATGCAACCTTAAAACTTGAGGTGGATAACCTCATTCGAAATGGATCCATCCGAGAAGTGTTCTATCCGACCTGGGTTGCCAACCTAGTCTTAGTGAAGGAGCCCAATGGCAAATGGCAGACATGCGTCGACTTCACCGACCTCTATAAGGCATGCCCAAAAGATAGCTTTCCCCTGCCCATGATCGACCAGCTCGTAGATGCCACCTCAAGGCACGAGCTACTGAGTTTTATGGACGCGTACTCGGGATACAATCAAATTCTGATGTACGCACCGGACGAAGAGCATACATCCTTTGTTACAGATCGGGGGCTGTACTGCTACAGAGTTATGCTCTTCGGCCTCAAGAATGCTAGCGCAACTTACCAGCGGTTGGTTAACCGAATAATCTCCGAACAGATCAGAAAATCGATGGAGGTATATGTAGATGACATGCTGGTCAAGTGGCATGTTGCTTCAGATCACATAGCGCATCTCGCTAAGATGTTCGACATCCTCCGGCAATATAGAATGAAGCTAAACCCCCTCAAGTGCTCATTCGGAGTATCCTCAGGAAAATTCCTAGGGTACATGGTTAACCAACGGGGAATAGAGATTAATCCCGAGAAAATCCAAGCTCTCCTCGATATGAAAAGTCTGACCAA